CCCTTATACTAAGGTTACTTTCCTATCATATCGACAGGAGCCTTGGCCATGTGATTTGCTATTGCCAAAGGAATTCCAGTTGACTTGAAAAGACCAGCACAGGACAAAAAATGCTCTTGAGATGTTTAGCTTGCATTTTATTCTGGTTATCCATTATGAATAAAGCATGGCACCATCCCTTTATCTTCAGCCCTAAGTAAAGACATAAGTATCAGACCTTAATCAAAATGTATTCTACAGTGGTCAACATGGTGGTGCAGCAAGATAATACTCCTCCTGTTGAGCCAGCATCACATATGGGAACTAGATCACATTCCTGCTGCTTTATTTCTGATCCAGCACTCTGCTTGTTGCCTGAAAAAACAGTGGAGGATGACTGAAGGCTTTGGGTCACTGCACCCACATGGGAGGGTCAAAGGATGTTCCTGGCTCCTGGCTTCAGATCAGCCCAGCTCTGGTCATTGTAGGCATTTAGGGAGTGAACCAGTGGATGAAGGATCTCTCTCTTGGTTCTCTCTGTCTTCCCCTCTCTGTATCTGTAACTGTTTCAAGTAAAATAATAAATCTTAAAAAAAGGAAACTCCATAAAATGCATTCTGGAACCTACCTCAGCTAATTTATATATTGAAGAAAAGCTTCCTGGATAAGCCCAAAGTGAAAGTTGGCCAGATAATCTCAAAGAAATCTTGACATAATTACTGTTTTAGGTCAAAATTTTAGGGTGACCAGTACTACACCATGTTGTGATAACAGCTTATTAAATACACAAATATCTATGAATGATACATACAGAAATTATCCATATATCACTTTTTTTTTTTGCTTCATAATGTTTTGACTTAAACTCAAGCTGTAATAGTCAACAAAAGATCACCTTTTTTAAAAGACACTAGCAGGAATGACACCTGTGTAAATGCAGTTTTGACATTTTTTTTGTCCAAATGTTTAAGAATCTGCCAATGAGTGAGACACAAGGCTATGGCTATTACCATAAAATAAACCAAATTCCAGACAGTTATTTCCTGAGTCTCCTGTAAATCAGAATGCAGTTATTTGACCCAAGCCTGTCTTATGACAAGAGTGATTAGGGTACAGTTCTCCATCAGAATGTAGCCTGCCACCTGTTGTGATAAATGGAGGTTCATTAAGGTAAGACATGCCCACATAATATGTATCATCTATGCTTTCTTTCACTGCAAATAGTAGGTGCTAGGTGCAACAGAGTCTACATGGTCTTCAGAGACACACACAATAAAAATGCTAGCTGCTTCTCTCTCTCTCTCTCTCTCTCTCTCTCTCTCACACACACACACACACACACACACACACTCCATTCCCTGCCTACAATGCTTTTGCAAGACATGTTAATCAAAGAGTGAATGATACAAAAGCAGTAATGATATAAAAGCAGTGTCCTCTGACAATGGTGACCATGGGGTAACAGGGGACCACAGCCATGGCAGCAGTACATAATTCAGAATTACTTTGTATTTTGATGGTAGGTGCATTTCTTCTTGTCTAAATTAGTTTCTCCTGATAGTTTTCATCCTTTGTTAAATTTCTATCTTGATCTTCCCTGTCTATTTCATAAGGTAGCTAATACTTTCCTAGTAAGTTCAATAATGTTAACTATGGTAATCAGAGTCACTTTCTGTTATTATAAATGAGATCATCTTTGAATGACCCATAGACAATTGTTTTTTTCTGAGTCTGAGAAACATGTTGCCATCCAACTCTCCAGCAATCTGTTCTTGCCTTCTGCATGGCTTACATTTGTCAACTTTCATTTTATAGATTCATTGTCCACTAAATTCCCCAAAGCAAGTGTTGAGATTAATACATTTCACTGTGGTGCTTGGGGAAATTTGAAAGAATGCAATAATGAATTATGGAATCCAGAAGACTATCATTTCCATCATTGAAATAGCCAACATCCCTGAGCAATTATCATGTATGTGCTAGCAATTCATTGGTACTGTACATGTATTATGGCAACTTATCCCCATAACAACCTTGCACCTCAGAAACTTTTTATTCAGAAGAAGCTTATAGAGCACTTGAATTAAAAAATTGGTCTAGGGCACAAAGCTAGTAATCAATTAAATCATAATTACAAAACCAGTTGAATTCTATAGCCTATACTCAGAAGCAATTGCTTAAACAGTTTTATTTTAGACAAAAAAAGGCAAGGAAAATAGAACAGTCTCTGATCAATTCCTAGATGAAAGCAACTAGAGTGATTGTAGGTATCTCTGACTCTGGGCAAGGAAAGAGTAGATCTATGAGCATTTGAGATACACTATTATTTTTCATTCTTTCCCAGACATAGGAATGACCACAAAGATTTATAATGATTATATGAAAATTAACAGTTTTAAAAGAAACATGACATCCTGTTTGAGGTAGGATTTCCATTCCTCTTGCCTTGGGCTGGCATTAGTGCTTCTGCTTTCTGCTTAAGATTAGTGTTGCCTGTTAACTGAAAGAGAACTGTGTGTACAGCTCCACTAAGAAGAAAATCTGCCTTTTCATCTAAAGGTAACTTTTAAGTAAAGGCAGGGAGAAGCCTCAGAGTGTAACTTCTACTTCAGTACAGTGCAGTGGATACCTGTGGAAACATTGTATTCAGAGCTATCCAAGAAACTCCGAAGGGACTTATGGGAAAATGTGCTTGGCCTGGAATGCTGGGTGATAAGACTGTCTACAGTATACAACAAAAGAGAAACAAGAACATCAAAATGGTAGAATGAGCACCACTGTACTCCCCTGGAGTAGCCTAAAGAGGCTGAAAACCACTCCACGTGAGATACTGCGAGGACATATGCCATGGCAGTAGTGTGAGTACAAGTTTGTCATTTTTATATTATGCTCTCAGTGCTTCTCAGTTTCTTTTCTTCTATACAAACTATCTCCAGGCAACCTGCATCCAGCTGTTTACAAGTAAGTTGAAACAAATGTATGAGCCCATCCAAGGGAGAAATATTCTCGGGTTTCAAGAAGGAAGCTTACATCTAGACACACCAAGCAGCCATTTTGTATTCAACACTGTCGGTCATCATCACATCAGATAAATTACAACACAGGCCTTTGAAGAATTTGTGTTTACAAACACTTGGTATGACCCTGCAACATATGTTTCAGGACCGAGTCTCCTCAATTGCTGACACCCCCTCGATAGAGAACACGCCAAGAGCCACAGAAACACAAGATAGCCAGCATATCTGAGCCAACAGAGGACCTCAAGTATCTCTTCAAAGGATAGAAAGGACAAGTTACACAACTCTCCTGGCCAAGTTTTACATCAAGCACATTGACCTGTGGACATAATATAGACACGGACAGCTAAGGCACTTTAGAAAAAAAAAATCTCTCACATTCTCAGAACAAAGACCACTCAAGTACAGAACATTCTTTCTTCATCAAGGTCTCTAAGGTGACATCAAAGCACCATGTGCATCCCTATGTGCTGATACAGACAAGGAGTGGCACCACACTCAATGGAAATAACAGTGAAAACTAGAAACATTGATCTCACATACCACTCCTCTCCACGCTCTCCAGTGTAATCAGACACTCACATGGGTCTGTAAACACCTCTCATTTGTAATAAACATTGACATTTAAAAAAAAACAAATTTGTGTTTAGGAGACAGAAAAATAAACAAGCGTAACTATGTGGTAAGCTCTAGGGAACAGGTCACCATCACAGCGCCTACCCTACAGGGTAGCTGCCAAGTCTAAAGACATTTTCAAATTCATACATCATTTACTGTTTTGCCATACAGAATAATACAATATCTCAGTTCCCAATTGTTATGATCAACCAATAGCTTCAGGTTTCAAAGACAAATATAGTATTTCAGGTGAGACCTAAAGCACAAGAAACCTAGAGGCAGCACTTGGGGATGCGCAAGTCAGTTTGATATTGCTAGGGCAGAATGTGGAGGGTAGGTAGGGCGGGCAGAAAGTGAAAGGTAAGGAGGCGAGTTAGATGAGCAGAGGTGATAGAAAGGCATTCTAGCCAAATCAGCAGGTCTGTATTTCATTTTGAGGGAAATGAGATAGCAATACAACATTTCTACACTTTTGAGAAATAATTGTGTATGAAGGAAAATTGGGAACAAATTAAGGATGATCATTGGAAAATGAAATCACTGCTAGAAATGTCCTGTTTACAGGATCCTAATGCTGTAAACTAAATACTAGAATGTAAGGATGATAAATAAAGCAGATTCCTTCCGTTACAGAACTACTGAGTTGCAATCCTTAGGGATAATGGAGAAGACTGCCTTGAAAGCACAGAAATCAGAAAAGACTTTTGTTTTGATAGTAAAGTTATTACCTTCAGTGTAAAATTATTTGAAAAAAACCCCACCTGTTTGTGATATGAGGTAAAGAATGTATGTGGATCTCCCAAAATTCAGCCAAAAGGTAAATATTTATTTAAGATAAGCAATTAAGAGTATTTTAAATTACCTTATGAAATTCCCCATAGGAAAAAAAATGGTGAGGATAGGGAGACTGAAAAATATAAAATATTATCCTCCGAAATGCAAATGATGGTAGATACTCCAAGGAAGTAGAGATGGCAGAGATACAGGGAGTTTGGAGTGAAAAAAAATAGGAGAGGCTGGATGTGTTTTATTAATTATGATGAATATGTCATACTAACAAGAAATATGAATACAAATGGAAAAGATCCATTTTTCATATTATACAACTATTTATACTACCTCTGCTAAATGACCAAACTTGCCTTGACACTACCTGAAAGGGAATATAACACTCCAATTTGAGGCTAATGTCACAAAAACTAATTTCTGTAATTCAGTCATTAGTGTGAACTGTTCACCATTATTTGTTATTACTCCACTTACCTTTTTGCAATAATGATAACGTCTTTTCCTCCCAGTATTTCCTCCCCTTGGAGATCTGTGAAATAAATTGTAGACTTGCCTGAAATTGATATAATCATTCAGTTAAGTTAAAGTGTCACCTACCCTTGTCGCTCCTTGTACATTTTATTAACTTTTTCCCACTGGGAATCGAGTTGTGACAGAGCTTCCTGGAGCTTTGTCCTTTCCACAGCTGTGGCACTTTGCAGTGCTGCCGTCTTCTTGTTGTGAATAACATCAATCCGACCTGAGATTTGTTGCATACATTCTTTTATATTCTGAAATTACAAAATTTTTAAAGAAAAAAAACAATCAACTCTCTGTACAAAGACAAACTATAATTCAGATCAACAGATCATCTTGTAGTCCTTAACTACTGACCTAAAACGAAAAATAAGAAAGGAATGAGGAGGGGGGGAGGGCGTTGGTAGGAGCAAGACAGGGAGGAAGAACAGGCAGGTTGGGAAGTTTCATTATGTTATTAAAACTGCATATATGAAATATGTGAAATTTGTTTCACTTGTATAAACGAAAACATTGAAAAAGAAGAGGAGGCCTTGTGAGTAGATGTTTGGTACAGTAGTTAGAATGTATCATGGGATGTTCACAATGTAAAACAGTGAGCCAGGGGTTGACTCTTGGCTCTGCATTCCATTCCAGCGCCCTGCTGCTGATGTACACCCGAGGAAGCTGTGCCGACCACACAAAAGTAATTTTGCCTCTGCCACAGACCTAAGTTGAATCTTTGTTCCTGGTTTCAGTTTAAGGTTGGCCCAGCACCAGTTGCTTTGAAACATTTGAGCAGTGAGACAATAAATGCAAGACTGTCATTAAATCCTTCTCTCTCTCATTCACACACACACACTGCCCCCTGCCCCCGCTCTTGGCTTAAGTTCCACTTGCTTCATAAACATTCAGAGATTTGCACTTTCCACACTCACCATTCTTCAATCTCCACACTCACAGATAAACATCCTGCTCTAAGATGCTCTTGGAAGTCTAATGATTCAATCTTGGTTCCAGGGATCTTATGTGCATGTCCAGATACAAATAAAAGTCTTAAATACCAATAAATGGAATGTTCTTAATTATATTCAGGCAAAACTCGGTATGATTTTAATCATATAGGAATTGGAGACTAGGCTTATTAGGTGATGTTTCCTGCTGGCCTGACCAAACTTCAAAAACATTGGTTCTGAAGAAAATGCCACACATCACAATAATCAGAAGTAAAATGGCTTCTGGGGAGCTCAAGAGAATTTTCTGCCTCATTCTAATACTTCCTGTGTGTTGCAGGAGAATTTTTCCAGGGCAAGAACTAAGCTGTAAAAGCAGAAAAGTCTATAGATAAAATCAGCCCTAAAAAGTAAAAGTAAATTTTCATAATGGGGACCTTAAATGACAAAAAAAGTTACTGTCTTCCTAGGCCATGTATATCAGGTTGAAGAAATGGTAATTTACAAATGGCTATGGCTAATATGAATGGATTTCAGTGGGAGAAAGAGGCTTTTATGAAAGCTCAAGTTATTCTCTTTAAATTTCATGTCCAGCATATAACGGTAAGCATTCATTATTTCTGTTCAGGACCTCAATTTAGGTCTCATACAAAGTACTTGTCTGACAGGTCAGGTACTGCAATCTGAGGAAAATGAGGACATGCCAGCACAAATTATCCTGTGAATTTTACAAACGGATGAGTATAGGTTAAAACTGTCTTCTACCAGTTTTACATCTAGAATTGGTTATCATTGAACTACATATGTTTTAATAGCAAGAAAAATTATCAAACCATTCCAGAAATGTTATTAGAGTGACAAGAGTGAGCAGAAAGTTTGCTTAGGAATGAATCTCTGGAAATTAGGGACAGAGTTAAAGAGTTGCCATGTCCAAAGTAGCGATGCTCAAACTTAGGAGGAGAGGGGCCACTGTCTCTATGATGATGGGTCAAGCTAATGCTTGAAATACTGGCATCACAGATGGGTACCAATCTGAGTCCCAGCTGCACCTGAGAAATCAGAAGATGGTCCAAGTACTTGGCCCATTCACCCACATGACAGACGCAGATAAAGCTTCTGGCTCCTGGCTTCAACAGGGCACAATCATGCTCATTGTGCATATTTGGGGAGTGAACCAGCAGATGGAAGATCTCTTGATCTCTCTGCAGCTCTCTATAACTCTGCTAAAGAATAATTAATCCATTTAAAAATATCTCAATGCTTCTGCATGTATCATATTCGTGCATATGTGCAAACTCACATCTCAGAACAAAACTACAACCAGGTGATTTTATATTCTGATTAGGAAGATATTTCTGGTTTCAGCATGGCCCAGCCCTGGTCATTTTGGGCATCTGGGCAGTGAACCACTCAGTGGAAGCTCTCTATCTCTCCCCTCTCTCTATGTAATTCTGCTTTTTCAAATAAACACAGCAAATCTTCAAAAAAGAAAAAAAAAGGAGAAAAAGAAGAGTAAAGTTATTCCAAACCCAGAGAAAAAAATATCCGGAAGGAAGAGTAGTATTCTACAAGTCAATTGTAGCCAGAGGAAGGAGGAAAAAGTCAACACTGATGATCTGGGAGTTCCAGGCTGATTTCATTGAGCACAATTTCAGCACGTTAGAAATATAAAATATATATGAACAAGGCAGACTGCCTTTCACTGTCACTCTCTCAAGATGAAACAGAGAGCAGCTTAGAATTACATTGCAATTTTCTGCATTTTACATCAGTTACTAGTTTGTTGGGGAAAAAAAAAAAGATTGTTAGTACTGAAAGGTGTCACCAAAAATATTTAAAGTGATAGGGTACATTTGGTATGTGTTCTCAATGCCCTTAAAACCACTGAACTCAAGGTGCTGTTAATATGTTCTCTTACTAACCCAAATTTTTACTACTGTTGTCTGGTATCACTGAGTCTGGAACCCAGGATAAAATGTTAAAGGCTATCCCATTAGCTAATTAGGCCAGAGGCCAGATAAATTGCACTAAGAGGACTTCTCAGCAGCTTCTGATAACTGGCCCGCTCTGGGAAACCTGACTTCACTAGCACTTGATCTGAATCAGCTTCGCATTCGGCAAGTCCTGAACACCATTTCAACTTAGTCACAAGTCCCATGGCAAAGATACATTTCTCTTGGACTTTCTCCAGTTGATTTCAATCAGCCAGCAGAGTGGCAGGCTGAGCAAATTCACACCATTTTTAACTCAATGTGAACTAAAACATTTACAATACATAAACTGACCACATCTATTGAAGAAAAATGCAAGGAAATGGGAAGAAGTATCATTCTCATGAGAATATAAATGTCAGGCAGCTATAACTTGATCTGGGAGTTTGTGTGTGCGCATGTGTGGCTATCAAATACAAACAGCTCCCCACCCACAACCACACAAAACTGAGATTTTTTTTAAAGTTTTTTTTGTTTTGTTTTGTGTTTTTTTTTTTTTTTTGCTTGAAAAGCAGACATACACAGAAAAGGAGAGACAGAAGGAGATATCCTCCATTCTCTGGTTCACTCTCCAAAAGGCCACAAAATCAGGGCCTGGGCTGATGTAAATCTAGGATCCAGGAGCTTCCTCTGGGTCTCCCACGTGAGTACAGCAGCCCAAGGACTTGAGCCATTCTTCACGACTCTCCCAAGCTACATGGCGAACTGGACCAGAATGGTGCAATCAGGACACTGGTGCTCATATGGAATGCTGGCACCACAGGGTGAGGCTTAGCCTATTAAGCCACGGTGCAGGCCACTACACTATCTTTGTTTTGTTTTCTTAAGTGCTAAACAATTTCTTCTTTTTTTTTTCAAAAAGAACTATTTTACTTATTTGAAAAAGCAGAGTAACAGAGATGCGGGGAGGGAAGAAAAAAGGCAGAGAATTAGACAGAAACAATTATCTTTCATCCACTTGCTCACTTGCCAAACATACACAAGGACCTGGAGGGACCAGACTGAAGCCAGGAGCTTCTTCCAGTCTCCCACAGGGAGACCCCTGGGTACAGGGGTCTAAGTCCTTGGGCTATGTGTTGCTGCTTTCCCAGGTGCATTATCAGGGAGCTGGGTCAGAAGTGGTGAATCTGGGACTCAAATCACCACAGGCTGTGTCTTAATCCACTATACCACAATGCCAGCCTGACACTCCGAGAATTCACAAAACTTTCAGATTTTATTCTGAGTCTCTGAAGTTTCCGGAAAGCAGTGGAATTACTCAGAATTGAGTTACAAATGGATTTAGCAATGCTTGGCAGTATATTGCAAAGGCCGGAAAACTTTCTATCTTAACTGAGAAAAGTAAAAAAGCAAAAACTAGGGCAGGGGATGTCATATTCCCTGGATATCCAGATAATAGCTCCCTGGTGCATTCTCTGAGAATACTGTCAAAATTGGCTGGAGTGCAGGAAATCCTTTTGAAGTCCCTGAACAAACTCTTATCCCCTAGGCACTGCACACAGAAAAACGGAATATGTGCCTAAGAAAATTTAGTAGCAGTTTCCATAGTTTAAAGGCAGAGTTGAGATATCTTACAGTTCTCTACTATTTTAGTTAGTCTAGAAATAAGTGTTCTTTAAGGGTTCCGACCCTCTATAAATGAAACCAAAATCCCTGTAGTTACTATGATGATAGAAAAATCCTTAGCATCATTATACAATATAGCATATCCATTATTCTCCCTGAATATTTCATTTTATTCCAAAATATGATGTCAAAATGATAAAGTGCTGATTGTTTAGTCAATTCATTCCCCAATGCTTACAAGTTGCTATAAATTGGCCTCTCCACACTCCTACTGAAATTCTGTAATGTTTAATTTTTCTACATCTTCCAGCTTAAAAACATAAATATATAAATATAACAAGGAAACTTTATGTTAACTCCTTAACGTTTGACAAAATACCATCATTACAATTTTAGTCAACAGCATCAAAAAGTTAAATAAGATTCTGAATTATATGTAGCTTTATCAAACAGAATATAAAAGATGGTTATCTGAAGGAAAAACAAACTACCAACCATACTGTTTCAGTTAATATTTCTATTTTAAGAGATTGTATCGTAAAACTGATAATAAAATATTGATAATATAAACATAGCAATTTAATCCTTACATTTGAGCTAACATATTGAGAGGGATCTGTGTGGGGAAGGGAAAAAGGAGAGTTGAACCTGCTTATTTTGAGTTGAATCGATGAAACCTGAAGATCTGTTATGCTGTTTTATGAACACTGCACACAGTACACTGCAAGCTGTTCAGAAAAACTTCTCTGTGGTTTTTGTCACTATGGATGGTTGCTAGCCATATCAAAACGAGAGACACTTTATTCACAAATATTTCCAAGTGCTGAAAACCAGCTCTTTTGCTCTTGCTGACTTAGTACAAAGCATATTCATAAATACAGTACTGTAGTTAAATGGGTTTACACACACTTAAATGTGTATGTTTTTAAATCTGCAAAACCCTGCACTATAGCTCTTGTATCTACAGAAAGTGACAACAGTTTAAAGAAGTTTAAGTAGTAAAAAACTGCCTTAAAATATCTTTTGATTTGATTAACAGAAGTACACAACTCGTTTTTAAGGATAAAAGATTAGAGATACCTGTTGATGGCTGTTGTGACAGCAGCTGGTGGAGAGTAAATCTACACTAAAATTAAGAGAAATTGAAATATTAATTTCCTGTTCAATTTTACTCTCTATGATTCCTCTTTAGCTGACAAATGAAGGTAGTGCCTTTTATACATCCAATTCTTATATTCTACACATTCTATATAGCAATGGGGCTCTATTCATGATATATCAAATTGGGAAGAGTTATTAATAAAAAAGGGCATTAAAGTACCTGTTAATTATGTTTTTCTTGAGCTTCTAAAAATTTTAATTTATTTCCAGTTATTCTACGCTAAACTGATTTTTTGATATATATATATATATATTTTTCTGTATGGCTTTTGGTCCACATTTGAAAATCCTTCTAAGCACAAGTACATATTTTGGCCAAATGATTCTCTATAGTATGATACATTTACTTTGCATAACCAATAAATGTGTATACATCATAGATCAACAATCCTGTGCCATCCTAATTGGTGGGAGCACAGTTGCGATGGTTCATGAACAGAAGGAAAACCACTCCACACTTAATTGTAACCTCCAATTTTCTACCAGCCTCATTCGTAAGCTATAGTATAGATGCTGTTGCCTCCCAGAACTCACATGATGTGGATTCCCAAAATAGCATTACTGGGGGAATGGTAAGAAGAATGAATTTTGAAAGTACATGCAACAAAGGTAAATTTTAAAGCAGGACAACTACTTCTCTGATCAAATACTAGGAGGAAGAAAAATAAATACTTACAAAAGAGATATATGGGGAAAAATACGAAAGAAAGCTGTGGTGGGTATTGTGCAGCTGGTTAAGCTGACAGTGTGGTACCCACATCCCATACAAGGAGTACCTGGGTTCAAGCACTACTTCTGTTCCAGAAGAGCTAGCAGATTATGTCCTAAATGTTTGGATTCCTGTCGTCCACGTGGGAAACTTGGAGAGACTTCAGTATCCTGGCTTTGGCTGATTCCAGGCCTGGCTGTTGCAATTTGGGAGTGATCCAACCGAAGAAAGTTTTCTTTCTCTCTCTCTCTCTCCCTTCTTTTCTCTTGTGCCACCTACCCCCCATATATATGTGTAAGTTAACAGTGACTAAAGTTAGTATCTGCCACTCATCTATTAGGGAAATTAAAAGTAAAATACTACGCAATCAATATAAGTAGGATTTAACTTACATTTAATGGATTAATATTTTTACAGAGTATATTTGCTGAATATGGAAACAGGATGGATGAGTTCCCAATATTATCATTCTCATACACTAACAAAAGTCAAACTTTCAGTAATTTGTTATACAGTGACTTCTTCAAGTTCTGAAGTACAAATTTGTTGGAAATGCAAAATACGATGTTAAGAATTTCTGTATTCATGCTTTCAAATGAGATATTTTAAGGACAGATTTGATGACTTCACATAATAAGTATATTTTTGTTCATTTTACTAAACTAATATTTTCTCAAAAACAAAGCCTAAACTACACCCAATATTCTTCAAAGCTTCCAAAAATTTTAATTCTTTCAAACTCATGGCACTATGGCATACACACTAGATACTGTTAAATCTATATAACCACAGTCAATACTAATATTGTCTCAGGCAGAATATTACTTATATGTATTTTTTCATTCAAGTCTAGTTACACCTTAGTGAATATATTAGTTATTATAATTTCAATATATAAGTAGAGATATAACTGCATAGTTTCCTTCAAAATGATTATGTAGCCTCCAAATTCAATACTGTACTGAAGCCACATGTGCTACTTTAGTAATATTTTGTGTAGGAACTAATTTTAACTTATCATACAATATTTGTGTTATATTACATTTTCAACAAATGTTTCTGTTAAACCAGAGCAGCATGATCCTATAAGATGTTTAATTTGATTCATGAAAATATGTCAGGAATAAAACCAACCACAACTTAATTTCAAAGCTTTCCAACCAGCAGCTATACAATTTATGTCGTGCTTTTCCATTTTTATTACCAGATAATGACAATGATAGATGTCTTCACAAGGAAACACATATTAATTGAAAAGACTGAGCTCAAAACCAGCACCCTTCAGAAAGCCCATAAAGGTAGCAAGGCCACTTGCTTTCTACAGGAGAGTTGCTGCCAGAGAGAAGGAATTATAACCTACCTTGTAAGGATTCAGTAATTCAGCTAAATGCAACCTGCAATAATGCCTTCTTGTAACCCACAATAATCAGTACTATTATAATTTGTGTCAGTCATAACATGAAAATATATCAGGATGAACAAACTATTAACTGTGAGTGTAGCTAAAGGCTACACTCTGTCAGATGTGTATGAAGATAGTGAGCAACTTAACAAGTTCAGGGTCACTGTTGTTGACTCATGTGTCTATGAACATGAAAGGAATGAATGTCAGCACATTAGCAGTGATATATATGTTGAATAGCAAAGATGAACTGAAAAACTGTGCTAGCACGGAAGACTGATTAATGCAAAAAATGACAGGAATGCTGACATATTTCCTTGATCAACTGATTGGGTTTCTGTTCTTCACTATTTGACATTTACTTCAAAGGGAATAAGAAACAGCATTGTCCTTAAAAGAACGGACGAGTTCCAGAGATTCTTGTAGCTGTTATTTTATTTTAGTGTGTAATTTTACAGCTTATTTGGCATAATGTAAGATATTAAAGTCAAGTTACCCAAGATATTGCGATATTTATTTCCAAAACAAACAAATGGCTTTATCTATTTCTATACTTACACAGACAAATATGCAATACAGAATGAGCTCCCAAGAAATCATTTAGGCCATAAAATATTTTAGCTAATATATACTGTTCATAGCAAATTGATCTGTCTTCAGTCTTACACTGTTTGTACTAGAAAATACCAAGCTCTGGCTATACTATGATATTTCATTTTGAGTATGAAATGTATGATCACTAAAATTATCTTGAGACACACATTATTATGTACATTTTCTTGATGCTACATTCATTTATTTTCAAACACTGCATACTAACATACATAGCTTATTTTCCCATCATGATATATCTCAGTTCAGAATTCAGTAACTTGTTTTTTTAAACAGCCTAGATTTGATACAAGCTTTTGCTGGTAGTTTTAAAGAAAACATTTTATTGGTTTCTATTCAATTATATTCCAAATATTATTCTATAGGTGTTGCTACTGAGCTACAATTGTATTTATATAAGTGGAAAATAGAAAAACTTCAAATCTTATCTAATTTGCCCCCTTTTGAACTGAAGAAATTCATACATTGGCTTGGGAAAGAAACTTATTTTCTTGATTATTCTTTTTGCCCTCAGCAAGTATGCAAACTCTTATTGTTGCACATGTCTTTGTTTAGGAAAACATTTTACACAAAATGCTACCAAATATTTCCTCCAATATATGTCTCCCTTTTCCAAAGTTAACTGCGAAGTGTTCTCAAGAGTTCTATGTGTAAGTCAAAATGTGTTTACCATATGTACAATACAAGCAAATCGTTACAGTACTATCAATGACCAATGTGATCATTTTGAGAGATTTAAATGAAGGTGCATTGCTCTTACCTTTAGAGACTCCTCCTGTTTAAAGAGATCTTCAAAATCTTTAGCAGAGAGGTCAGGAGCATTGAGAAGGTGATCCACTTCTGATAGGGCTTGTGAGACATGAGTGATCTCAGTCAGATAAGTAGAAGGCACATATGAAATTTCCAAAGGCATGTCTTCAGTCATCACTACCATCGTTTCTTCACGGACAGTGTGCTGGTATAGATATACAAAAGAACAATTCTTTTAGCTTCCTAACCACGAATAGTCTACTACTGAACTTACATAGGTTCCAGTCTCTAGCTGATAGAGGGCTGAAAATGGGTTTAAACATGCATGATGATAAGACCAGTAAAAAGGTTATTATTTCCATACTTTCTTCTTCTAGAAAGTGTTGGAAGCATTTCATAACACAAGTTACACATGTTAGCACCATGACTATAAAATGAAAGACTGAGGTCGTGAGGATAGGAGCTTTACTCTAAGAAAACAATTATTCTTGCAACTGGCTTTACAATGTTAACTCTAGGCTTCCTCTCAAGCTAGGTAGGGTGATCCTACATCTGTTATTACAAAGGGATCTTTACGATACTTTTCCCCCTAAACCTGACTGAAGTACGAGAGGCAATACAGTGTGTGTGTGTGTGTGTGTGTGTGTGTGTGTGTGTGTGTGTGTTCTTTTTTCTAGTAATTATCCTTTTGTTACGCATTCCTCTCCTCCAAATTCCACATATTAACTTCTCTCTTTGAAGCTGAATTATTGCTTAATTAAGGTGTCAGATGATTTTAGGTCCTGCTGGAATTTATTTTAATACGAAGTCCAGAATGCCCTGAGATCTAACAGAGCACTATAGCCAATCCTTTTACATCTGCACTTTCCTATCTGGGCTCCGAATGCTAGGAAAGATAAGCATTTGCAGCTTAGAGTTCTTTCGGAGGTTCTCAGTAGTGTCTCCCTGTTCCTTATAAAAGCAAGAAAGAAATACTGGTTGGCACACAAATTCAGAAAGATGGATGACCTCTGCTCTCTTCTGTCTACACTATAGGCAGAAAAACTCTAGCAATTGAAATTATTCTCCCAGTAACTTTGTTCAGAATTGATCAGCTGCCACCTGCCTGTTGGTGAGGTCAGCAGAAGGTTTCAGTGGCAGGGTCTCTGGGGAAGTTTGGACAGTAAGTATGCAAACACGGCCATTTATTATGACAAGGCCACATTTATTTTTGCAGTAATGTAATTAAATATATGGGTTTTGGGATCACAGACTGAATCACTACAAAAATGAATAATAAGTATAAGAAGGTTACCTTAGGATTTCTTGATACATTCTCTCACCCTGAATTACTAACTCAGGCTTACATGATATAAAAATAAAATAGTTCTATATGAGATGTTTCATCTACTGGCAACATGGCAAATTCACAAGTGCACAATTTGTTTTAATATGGCACACCTTTTGCAGCCAAGTTTGGCTTACTGTATAAATCTCAGCCAAATTTTGTCACAAATTTCTTTATGGCTAATGGAATGATTCTGTATTTCATATTTACATTTGCAAGGATATTAGAAACTTGAGCTAGGGTTAGATAAATATAATTCAACATGTAAATACACACTTGAAAATTCTCATTTTCTCCATTTCAAGCAAAACATATCACTAACAAAAAGGAAAATAAATTAATGGTCTATTTGAAAATGTGCAATTTCCACTGACAAACTGAGCATAATACTAAGCAGTAGGGTTAACAGCATAAGTCAAATACATTTATTAGAACTTTCATGCATCCAATTAGGGTGGTGACTTGTTTTCAGCAAACCGTTGAGATTAGGAAAGCTGTTTTTGTACTAGAAATGTGTCATAATAGGTTAAGCTGTTTGCAAAGCCAGCAACCCATCTGAGCACTGACTTGGAAACCAGCTCACTACTAATGAGCCTGAGAAAAGGAGTCCTAGTCCCGGGCTCCTGCAGCCACATGGAAAACCCAGACAAAGCCCCTGGTCCCTGGCTCTTCCTAGTCCAGTCCATACCACTGTGGCCATTTGATGTTTGTGTATTGGGCGATGGGTGGTGAACCAGTAGATGGAAGATTTCTGTCTCTTCCTCTACCAATGCCACTCAAAAAAAAATAAATCTAAAAAATAGGTTTTGAATCCCTTATCTGCACACTTATTTTAGCTCCTGAAGTATATACTTTTATAACACCTAGAACAAGCAGGTTTTATGATATTTTTATATTATAGTACAAATACTTTTGCTTTTAATCACACACATTTTATATCTTTAAGCTTTTAGAGAACAGTGGTTTTAGACAGAGTTGGATTAAAAGACAAATGGTGTTTTTTCTCTAATTTAGACTTTTAATCAAAAAGGTTGCGTGTGAATTATTAGTCATATTTTTCAGGACTTTCTGCAGGTCTTCATTTTTCCTAAATAGGAGAATGAGTGAAGGTTATTACTAAAGTCTTTTTGCTATTTCTTCTTTGACATATAATTTTCTTCATCTTCATAATCTATATTTAGAATCTAAAATTCTTATTGATACCACATAGATGTAGTTACTATTGATGATATACAAGAAAGAAATTCATTGAATAGTCAAATAAAGAGGCACTAAAACTGTACTCCAATTTAACTAATAACTTGAGTTTAGTGCCCTGAAACAAAATTGGAAACTGAAACTTATAGTGCTTTTGTGTTTCTACCTAATCATATTGTGCTTAGCATAGAGGAAAATAAGGTTTACTTAAGTAATAATTAGGCTAGCCACACTGGTTTAAAGACTGGACTATTACAACTAAGCAAGAAAGATTTCTCAACAGATCAAGTTCTCAACAGAGATCCTAAGAAAATAGCACACTCCCCTCCGAATTCTCATTAGTTAAGCTCTGTACTTAACCACACATGCTTCTCATAATTTTTTATTCCATATTGATTAATGTATTTCTTTCCTCATAATCAATATTCAGCAATGTGTGAGGAGCAAAAAAAGCCTTCATTTCAGCAGAAATCAATTTCAGCAGAAATCTCTTTCAAGGTTATATTGTATAGAATCTATTCAAATCCTCAAATTTTCAAATAATTTAAATTTTGTATCTAGTACAAGAAATCATTGTTAAAAATGCCTTTAAAACAGAAGCTTTTAATAACAATGATTGTAATTCCCTTTAGAGAAACGTTAGGCACAGCATGGCAGGTAGGAAATGTTCAATTAATATGCATATTGCAATTACTTTCAAGACTGCCTGAGATAAGTTTAAAGCAACGTAGAAAAGTAAGTAGACTGCCACAATCTATTCATTTGATATTAAGATATGGTATGAACAAATTCTCCAAAACAGAAATGTTCAAACTGTTAATAGCTGATGAGAGCAATAAAAGATAGTGTCTTGGTTTATAAAAGATTTAAATTAGAAGGACCTTGCAATTTTTATGATGCCAAACTACTGATAATTAATCCCTTCATTTCTCATCTACAAAAAATTAAAATGCCCATAATTGCTTAAAATGCCACTCATTACAATTATCAATAGCCACTGATTATGCTATATTTTATAAATAAAACAAAAAGGTTAATGAACATTCAATATACATAATGAGGACTTATCTACTGGAGAATTTATTAATGCATAACACGCAGGAATCCTGGCTAACAGAATTTAACCAGTACACATGAGCTCAATAGAGGAACCTAAGGGATGAACCTGTGAATTTTCAGTAGAAATAGAGGCCAAAACAATTTTTGACATAACTAACAAAGAAATTAGTACCTCATTTTCTAGGCTGTTCTACAAATTTTGAAAATTTTCAGTTATTACCACATTCTGTGAGCTGTAATAACATATTAAAGTATATTCAATCATAATTTTAATATTCATGAAACTGCCAAAAATTAAATCAAAATGGAGTCTGATCATGGGAGTTGACTTAAAAATATTTTATTTCGGGGCCTAGTGTGGTGGCCTAGTGGGTAAAGTCCTTGCCTTAAACGCACTGGGATCCCATATGGGAGCTGGTTCTAATCCCAGCAGCTCCACTTCCCATCCAGCTCCCTGCTTGTGCCTTACTGCTCTTTATTTTTAAATGTAATAGAACACTAAGGCATAGATAAATCTGTATTTGAGTTAAGAGTTCCATCTCGGGCCCGGTGTCGTGGCCTAGCAGCTAACATCCTCACCTTGAACACACTGGGATCCCATATGGGCACCAGTTCTAATCCTGGCAGCCCACTTTCATTCCAGCTCCTTGCTTATGGCCTAGTAAAGCAGTAGAGGACGGCCCAAAGCCTTGGGACCCTGCACCTTTGTGGGAGACCAGGAGGAAGTTCCTGGCTCCAGGCTCCAGATGGGCACAGCACCGGCCGTTGTGGTCACTTGGGGAGTGAATCATCGGATGGAAGATCTTCCTCTCTGACTCTCCTCCTCTCTGTATATCTGGCTTTGTAATAAAAATAAATAAATCTTTAAAAAATTATTTCTTTTGCCAAAAAATGCATATCTATAATGAATAAGCTATATCAACTGAATGACTTTGTTTAACAAAAATTTCAAACATTAAAAAAAATCAGTGTAATTGTAAGCATTATGTTCATTTCCTCTTCTTTGTGCAAAATTCATGCACTCAAAATCAGATTAAATCTTTTCATTTGAATTTCATTAACTTTGCCTTGAATAATTATATTCCTCTGAATTCTGATGTCACAATCCTTACTAAACTTTTGAATTCAACTTGCTTTTGTTTATGGTCTTTACTATCTTACATCACTATAGCTAATTATGCATCATTAGCAAGAATTGGTGTAGCCAAGTAACTCATTTTGTTCTTTCTGTTCACTTTGTAACTGTGTACTCAAAAGAATATACAGTTTTCATTTATTTCACGAATCAAAGAAATTTTCTATTCATTGTAGTTACTGGCGCAACCATGAGTCATAAGGTAAATGAAACTCAATAAAAAAATATACTATATGCCACATTAAGAAGACTAACATCACCTTTTATAAAAATATAGTACATAAATACATAGCACATATATACCTTACATAGATATGGTTTATAAAAAACATGTGGGCACATTTAAAGGAAAACTTACAAAAATTTTAGAAAAATATTATATATTAATGGAGTATTTGTGTTACTGCAAGGAAAGATGAATATGTGCCAAATTTTTACAACAAAGATTTATTAATGATTTGAGGTGAGTCATGATATGAAAGTCTGA